CCTATTGCATATTATTACTATTAGTGTGACTAATTATTTAATATTGATTTTTTTAATAAATTTCTTTCAGAACATTAATTTCTATTCAAATTTTTACACTGGTCATCTGACCAATCTTGAGCATTTGCCATGTATTTAAACCGTAATTAGTAACAATAGGACATTTGATATTACATTAATCTTGTCTTTTATTCGATATGCCTTTCCAAAAGTGAATTTTGAGAAACATCGTACAATAAAATAGCCTACATATACTTCGCAGAAGCCTTTCTCTCGCCATATTGATTGGGCGTAGGTTTAAAGAAGGGAGAACTGGTGAGCCTGTATCTCGTTATTTTGGTATTTACATAATTATATTATGAAATATATTATAACATCCTGCACTGATAAAATTGTGCCTTTTTTTCTTTTGTTCTTTTTATTTCATATCATAAGACCATCTTAGTTTATATAATGGTGCCCTAAAGCGACGCGAACAGGCTTTTAAATGTTTCAATTACAAGTAAATAAACTTTACAACATACTGATTTAGTTACATTTCCATCCCACACAGTGTGCAGAAATATACATGCACAAATTCTAACATTTAATCTTAATCTGCCACCTCAATGCGCCAATAAAGCGCAGCGACCGCTTCCCTTAGTTCTCCACATTCGCAATTGCATTGCCTACTTTTAATTGACGGAGGAGGAGAACACAGAACTTAATCCAGTCTATGTTCTTCTTACTCCTTCCAGACTATGTTCTCCATTTATGCCAGATTTCAGCGAGATCCGTGCGGCCGTTCTGAAGATACCTTCGAACAAACATCTACCTATTATCTTCATTTATAAAATTAGTAAGATCAATCTTAGTTCGAACATAACGAGTAGTTTCAAGATAGTACTCATTTGAATCTCGTAGGCTCTTGTCCTTGGTACGTCTCATTCGGCTTCGTGACCATTCATATGCCCACGCAATAAATACTCGTGATATACTTTTCGCCAAGTCGATCTCTTTGTAATTTACGAATCACTTGTTGCATAAGGAACTTTGGTCTAGACACCGAATATTTAAATGGTAGTATACCAAAAACTAGTCTGATCTAATCACCCAAGATAGAGGTGACTAGACTAGAAGCTTCAGTGGGGACGTAAAGTGAGCTGATGATAATACCAAAAACAGTCGGTACGTGTATTACCAATAACTTATTGCGACAAAATATTTCGATAAAATAATTTATTTGCATGTTTTATTTTTGAAAAACAAACTTATATTATTAAAATTAAATAACGAAAAAGGTTTGTTATAAGGTCCAAGTTATAAATTAATAATAGCAATCGTTACTTAAGTACAAACTGTTTTGCAACACAAAAACCAATCAAGCGGAATCGTGTCTCATCACTAAAATGCAGAGAAGGTGCACCACTTCAATTACTCTCAGAATCGAGAACATATATTTTGCAATACACATACAAATGATCGGCGTCGGTCTTGATAATTAGCTGCCGTGGTGTTTGTAGTCACGATGTGGTGAGCCGCTTGTTGTGGTGGGCCTCTTGTTGTGGTGGGATGTGGTCATGTGACTTACACGATATTGATTAATTTTACAGATAATGTAAATCCAATGTGAACATTACAATAACATAATAATAATAACATTTACACGGTTTACAATAAAGCAACAAGGTCAGAAGGTTGAGTAGGAATTTCTTCACGCATAAATTGCGAAAATGATTGATGAAATAATTTAAAGTTATTATTAATTAATCGTTAATAGTTGTTTATTAGTAAGAATGTAAGAATCTAATCGATTAAGTGAAAAGAATACATTCATTAGTAATCGACTATCAAATTCTTAAACAATTATCATGATCTGTACAGCAAATAATATTGGGGTGTCTATATGTTATATTTTTGAGAGAACTTTCACTGAAAGATAGCTAATGTATGCGGACATGTTAATGGTTGTTTTTTTTATTTTGCGCCGACGAAGACACGGGCGATCGTTAGTCTTACATAAATTATCTGTATAATGCAGAAACGAACAATCGATTCATTGCATATATAGTAACCATCATTTGGTGAATTTCCGAAAAATGTTTAAAAAACATTTTGCTATCTCTGCCTTATCTAAGAGAAAAAAAGAGATGACAACATTCAACCGTTGTTGTCCATCAAGTCAGTTTGATTCTACCGCGATTATAACATGTGAATTACGATGGTTAATTTTCCGCATAACGGATAAACATCAAGACCTGTCCAGTTAATGATAAATTAATCTTTGCTCTTACATAAATGACATTACCTCGATGTATGACGAATCAAATGTTTCTGAGGATCCATGATGATAGATAGGTCTCGATTTTAATAACATTTTTCATTAAAGATTGCTTTGTTTACAAATCAAGCAGTAACATAAATAAAATACTTTTAAACAATCAATATCTAAATGTTTAATTATTTAAGTAACAATCGTAAAGAGAGTAATCTGTGTGGTCTCTATAATTTTTTTTTATTAAACAATTACAAGTTTACGACAATAGTCGAATGGATTCGAACCCCCGACCTCGTGATCGGAAATCCGTACCCTTAACCATTAGGCTATTGACGCTTTTAAATTACTGTACTTACCGCGGGTTTCTGAAACCAAAATACCTTTCATCTTTGACAGGGATTTTGTCTCAGAAACCCACGGTTAATAAATAATAGTCTATTGCTGCTGATAAATAATAATCTGTTGGCCAGTTACAACTCACATAATTGCAATCTCAAACTTTGACTCTTCGCCTTTATGGAAAACATAAATCAAATAATAGATTGTTAACCAAATATTTAAATTGGAATGTTTTAATTTTGGTTAAAATGTAATATTTCAAGTCACTTTTTTAACTGATATAGAAATTCATGTGGGTCACTAATCATCACACCTATTGTATTCAAAAGAAGTATCAAGAACCTACTACCTTCAGACAGACAGTAGCATAATATAATCACGTTTTTTATTTTTATTTTTAAGTATTAACGAATACTACTTCAATGTGTTATAGCTACTCGCTTTTAAAAAAATTAAACTTCGTATATATCTTACTATTATTACTAATGTTGGGATGGATGGATGTTTATTATAAGGTTTAACCAGAAAGGCTGTATGGATCTTGCTGAAATTTGGCATAGAAGACATAGTCTGGAAGAACACATGGGCTACTAATTATTATTTATTTAATTTTGCGCGGTGCGGGTGACACTAGTATATATACATATGCGTAAATTCCTCATATCATTTACTTTAATTTATATTATGAACACAATTTAACACCTGTTGATACTCCGTGATCAAAATAATAACATAATATTATTTCTTATAATGTATCAAGATAGGGTTGCCTCTCGAAAGATTTTCAAGTAAGATTAATACAATAATTGTTTTACAGTTGAAAGAAAAGTTTAAAAGCTTTCAATACATTTTTAACATGGGAAAATATCTAACAGGTAAATACTCTTTCAGCTTTGGGTGAGATATAAGTTAATTTAGGGTTCTGCAATGTTTGCTGTTCAAAACCTACTCCATCTTATGTATACCGAATATCGAGTACCCACGCGAATCGTCTGTCTTTATCCTTTTATTGTCCACTTTAGGGCCACTCTAATGGCAATTCAAGCTTTTAAAGTACAAAAATATAAAAAGAAAAATTGTTAATTAAATATTGTCTACGAGGCAACCCTGAACGGAGCATCCGTATGTTAGTAACAAAGAATTACATGTGATAATGACAGTCTCACCTTGTAGCAATGCTGATCTCGTATTAGTTGGGTCCATTAAGCTTTCGAGCGTCAAGATCTATTTGTTAGGCGGAAGGTCATGGTTCAATGGGCTGTTTCGTCATATCACGAGCACTTGCTACCTTAAAACTTCATTTGATACATGTTTATTCCAGTCCTGTCATTAAAAACGAAGAAAAGACAACTCGTAACTTTTATTAGCAACATTTGAAAGAATCTTTATATGCGGCCAGTACTATTTTCGCAACATAATCATTGCTTATGATGGATATTGCAAACGGCCAGCTCTAAAGCTAAAACATCGTGTTGGGGGATATTTTACGGAGATTGTCGTATTAAAATAATATTATTGGCTAGTGACCTATTGCTCCTCACATTCAATCATAAATAGGGATTGGAAGAACTTTAAAGGAAAAGTAATATTTGTGTCTAAAGTATGTGTACAATAATAGACGCCACGCGCTGTCTGTCGTACTGTTAGAATCATTGTTTTCTAGACAAAGGAATTTGAATGTAATTTACTTTCATCTTCTACGGTTGTAGTTTTAATAATGACCCCAAATAATGTCTATTTATAAACTTTTTCTTTTGAGTATTTGTTTCATAAAATTAAAAATAGTATCTTTTAACTCTGTCTAAACTATAGTAATTACCTAATAATCTTTCCATTAAACCTACATATACGTAATTTATTTTACTGTTATACTCAATATCGTTCAGATACAACCATAATTGCGGTTAGATTTAATTTTAGAATTTCCATGCTTAAAGATAATTCCGACTTAAAATATTACGACGAAAACATACAATTTCTGCGCATAAGTGTCTTTGTGTTGTCTCTCTTTTTACATTATAGTTGTTTACTTTATTTTTTGGTGATATAATTTTGGACAGTTTCAGTAAATTCAAAATATAGAGAAGCGAAACTCGCGTGACTTATCTTTTATTGTGCTGTAACATCCACGTGAGAATATGCTGTAACAGACGACAGATATCGCATAGATCTAGCTCCATGTATTTCGCGTAACAAATGTGAATTTTAAAACATGTTATCAATGAACTAAATCAACTAGAAATACTCGTATTTATAGGAGGATTCGACGTGCGAAAAATTCCATAGACGAAAGGAAAATGACAGATTAATTAAAAAAAAAACCTACTATTATAAAACTACTAAGGTGTTTTAAGCTGTCGGTTTTAATGTACTTACATTCATGAAACTATTTTTCCTTTTACAGAGTCCGTTGAACAAATTCCCTAGCATTTGCAGTCTGTTTGTGTGTTTGGTACAAATGACAGCAAGCGGTATGGCGGGAACGCAATTCTCTTCGCACGTGAGCGTCAGCACGCCGTCTAGAAGCTTCTCGCATGGTGTTGGCGATCCATTGCACGTGCCGGCACAACTGAAGTCAACGTATAGAAACTTTAGAAGTAAGGGAAAGTTTTCTTTATAAATATTAAATGGTGATCGATGTTTTCTCTGGTCAAGAATGCACTCTACATTAGATAAAGCCGGCTGTAGATAATCGACCAATGGAAGAGGTTCTTATTCAGCAGCAGAAAACCATAGACTTCCTTCCATAAGAAATACAAGAACAAGAATTTGTTTTGATGAACGATGGTAATTGAGGAACATGATGTTAAATGATTACCAAATTTCATTAGTTCAGTAGTTTCAGCGTGAGGGAAAGACAGGCAGATTGAGTTACTTTCGCATTATTTTATAATACAAAATAAAGATTATATTTCTTCAGTGTCATTTTTATACATAGGATAATAATTTTTTTGTTTTAGGACCGGCATTTTCTGAAGATATTGGATATCCGAGAGTTAAACCGGCGATACCATTTGTGCATGAAGATATAGTTCATCACAACGGCTATAGAGGACCATCACGACATAACTTCTTTGGTAAGGTTTACAATAGGTGCTTTTTTTTCAATTATACCGTTTGTAAAAACCATTAAAAAATTGTGTTAGACCGCACCAAACGGAAGTCTGTGGTCTGATTGTAGTTATCACAGAACACCCCGTATATTTGTAAAAAAAACCAACGCCGTATCTAGTAAGGCTCTAGTGACGAAACATAACAAGCACCTCCTTTGTTTAAATTCAGATGCAAAAATACCCGTATTGCCGCCGTCGCCGTACAAAGTCGATTCTCCGGACCCGGAGTCCCTCTGGCCGGAAGGTCTATTCGTGCCGCCATTGACCCCACCCCGCTTTGGATTACGAAGGGTTGACGCCCGTAAGGTTTTATCGAAACTTTAAATAACATAATTTAAGAATGGTATTTTAGTTGTAGATGGTACGTTTTTATTCCTTCTTGAGATTTGTCGAAGACTGCAATAATTTTAATACACCATTGCAGCTTAACAGCCATTAACTTCACTTTTATGGCTCAAAACAATATTTCATAAAAAAACCACTGCTACAATAAATTTTTCGTTTATACCTTCGTTTGCTATGACTTTAGTGTGTTCTTTTTATTTTTCAGATAATTTCCTCGACCCATACTTATTAGAGGGCTCGGAAGCTATCGCCGCAGTGAGAAGGGCGGACAACCACGGGCATTACTTCTTCCACGACATACCTCATATAGAATCGCTACTCGCGAATCAAAACCTAAGAGTGAAGAACAATTTGAAGCCGCATCGAATCGGAAGCATACGCCATACATGGCCTTATAATAGACCATAGACAATTAGAACTCAGTATTAAAAAAAAAATATTTATGAAATGTAAAAAATTGTAAAAATACTCATAAACTCATTACGCATTTGAATAAATAAAAGATTACCTCTATTGCCTTTTTTATTTTAAACATAATTAAAAAATATAGTCGAAATAAATATAAGACAAAAGTTTTGTGTGCTACATTATTGTCTTTATTAAAGTGAATGTTTTCTACTATAACTAGAATTAAGTACATTTAATTGAGTATATTGTAAGTAAATTCGAAAATTGTACAAAATTATGATAGTACTATATCGGTAGGCGTCTATTGACTCGCGCCGGACGCATCGTACGCACGGCTTGCAACCGATTTCATTTTGCTTCGTATGATTTTACATAGCACTGACCATATCGAAAGGCAGTTATCAACAAGCAATCCATTGCGGGCCGTGTGTCCGTTGCGTCCGGCGCGGGACAATGTACTCGTACGTTATATAAATCTTATTCTACATACATATAGGTACATTTTCCCTTGGTAGTACATACAATGGCAGTGCTTGTTTTTATTTACAAAAGAGTACTCCAAAAATGGTTTGTCTGTTTCAAATGTATCACATAAAGTAAACTTTTTTTAAAAGTGATTTTTTTTTAACTATGTAACGGACGAATATTTTTCTTTTTACGTTTGGTCAAAATTGCCAAATATTTAATTTCTAACAACATATTAAAGTTCGTCATCTTTATTCCAAGGTTTTTAATTGCAATAAAAAAAATGTGAAAATATATGTTTGTATATAAAATCATGACAATCAAACATGAATAACTTGGACGGATCTTAAAATTAAAAAAAAAACAATTTCATTTTACCAATAAAAATAAAAATTATAAATACACATAAAAATGGTGTTTCGCAAAAAAAATAACAACCTTTCAGTCACATTAAATAAAAACATAATAATTTTAAAGAACAAAAAATAAAATAGCTCTTCAAAAAAGCTGCAGCATATTACGCAGTCTATATTAAAATCCAGGAATGCTGATATTAGAGATTCAAATACATTACAAATATCACAATTAAAATACTATCTTCAAAACATACATCACCTAAGAGTAACAAATATTATAAAGAAGTACGGAAATAGTTACTAAAATTACCGAAGGAACAGCTGCAATCTTATAAGATGAATTACAGAGGTCTCCATTACAGAAACACATGTATACTTTCCTGTGACTCCACATTGTATATGCACATCTCTCTTCATAGTCGCTTGGTGGACGTTGGAGACACATTCTTTCTGTTGCCGCACCATAATCTGAAATAATATAATATTTCAAATTTAACATATTCCAAGTCACTTCGATCTTTTCACACTAAACTCAATCATCAATGGCATTGAATATGTTATTAAATTGGAAAACCAAATTCGTTAATTAAAAGTTTTAATATACTGATGGTGAATATAACACTCCGAAATAATGTAAATAATTTTCTAATTAATTAATTTGGTAAAATCAACATTAAACTCTAATGAATTGCAATTAGACTTATGGTGTAAATCAACTCCGAACCAGTTCAAAATTTTAGGTCACATAGACTTGAACCATCATACAACTCATTATGATGGGTACTATGGGTTTAGCACCTGAGCTGAGTCGCAAGCTGCTTGTGACTTACAGTATGCAACTTCAATTCCAAATTTTAACTCTATAAAGGTACAAATAGAGCTGAGCTGTGAACCTGTACTTTGATCTACTTTACACATGTAAATCATAAATTGTTCTGCAGATCATCAATTTTAATTGTTACTCAACAATAATTACAATACATACCATCATTTTTTAATGCACCAATATTGCCCTCATAAGACTTCCCACACCAGCCAGAAGGACATGCTACAACATGAATGCCCACCTCAGCTTCCGGTTCTGTTACATTAAACGGGAATGGGTCCCCACATGAGCCAAGTTCACCTCTTGATCTGCATTTTATACATCTCTTGTTCAAACCTGCAAAATGTTAAATCTGAATAATATAATATGTGATTTGGAAATTCATACAATTCATAATGAAAGGAAGTTTACTCTTATACCATTTTGCTCTTTTGTTTATTCTTTCTTTTTGTCTCTTTAAGTTTCTTTACTAGTAAACTAGGCAGGATTGTTGCTCGATAAATCATTTTATAATTTGCTGCAGATTGATTTAAGGTACGTTTTATGTATAAAACTTTCAATAATAATAACTTGTCACATTACTGAGTACCTGGTACATTTTTTAATATTATTGAAGTAATTAGTTATAACTCCAACCCTACCTTAATTAATACTTTAATTTTATATGGAAAATAACGTTTAAATTACAAATAATCTTTTATCATGAATAGCAAGTCCAATCGAGAAGTATTTTACAGCGCAACTCTCACTTTACCTTGACAATTGTATCCGCGTTAACAAAAATATTAAAAGTGAAAACTTACAGTTTGCTTCCTTAAATAAGGCAAATCCCACCAAGGAACATAGAAATAAAGTTTTGTAATTCATCTTTGTATTTTTAATATCGAAAATTTTATTTACAACACACTTTTAAAACTTTTCATTTTGTATTTGAAGGCACGTAACAAGTTTCAAAACTTTAATTTGGCACTTTGACAGATTATTGAATCACACAAGTGCACACATTCACAATCACTACGATAGACCATAGACTACGGGCCGTGGCATACTGACAACCAAGTCGTCGATTTTGATAAAGATTGTAACAAATTCTTCATCTAGGACCGTTACATCATTACCAAATATTTAATTATATTACGTTGCAAATGATAATTAGCAGTAACCGCAAAAATCAGTTACTCATAATTTGTCGATAAACATTGCTTGAAGCTATATTTGAACATGGATATTTATTGCATGAATGTAAGAACATACATACCTTTTTACGTTTCCTTGTTCATATACACAAGTACTGTAATTTTTAACAAATCAAACTTAAGTACAATGGATCAGCAAAGTAGTTTCTTTGATGCCAAGCAACACAAATTCCGGCACAATAGCATGTTATAGTTAGAGATAATACAAATCCAAGATAAATGGAATATCTAAAAAATTCTGAAATAATTTTGTGAAAATTAAAATTTAGATATTTCTTAATTTTCTACCAATTAAACATAAACTCACCTTGATTGAGTAATTTAGATTTTGATACAACTTTTACACAGTAGGATTGGTATGGTTTGCCGTCAACATAACATGTGTAAACACCTTCTTCTTCCTTAGTAGCTTGTAATATATAGAGGGAATTATATGCATCAATAGTTAAATGCGGTTCTTTTTCAGTCTCTGCCATGTTATTTCTATAATTGACAATACCATTAGGACAACTTCGATGATACAAAACTAATCGTCGTTCCCACATTAGCTATAATTTCCATTAAGTCTTGCATAAGCATAAATCGAGTTACATACACATAAGTATAAGTAATTTAGATTCTCTAAACATACCTAAATGAAGAATTTAGCTTTTCATTATTTTTATACCATTCAACCTTGGATTCCAATGTTGCTTCGGGGCAGTTAAGAGTGAGATGACCGTTTTCACCTATAATTTTTTTAATTTTGCTCTTCATGAATTCTCCTCGATGTTTATTTTCTTTTTCATCTTAAAATAATTATGTAATGAATAGTCTTTAAATTTTACGATGATTTATAACTAGTAAGATTTAAAAACCAATTTACCATTCCCGATCATTGTCTCATTCAAATTAGAAATATATTTTTCATTTAATCCTTCAACCAAATTAATCAAATTGAATTTTGCTTCAAACTCACTATTCAAAACGTTTCTCTAAAAAAAGGCAAAATGGTACGTTAATTTATCAATGGTGCAAAGTACCTGTTAAATGAAAATCTAAAAAAAACGCAATTCAAATGTGTTAACGTACAACGCGGAATTAAGTGGCCTCTACTATCATCACATTTGTATGAATAAAATTTGTTAAATTTACCTTTCTTATTTTGTGAAGTCCATATGATTTTTGATAACTCGTAATTTTTTTCATATGAATAGTAGGGGAATAGATAAAATTATGGAACATTATTATTCTTTTTGACTTTGGTACGCATATAAATTTACGCAAATGTTTATTTTTAACTTTAAAATTTCTTGCAACTTCAAAGTTTCCTTGACCTGAAATTTGTATTCGTTTTACCAAAGAAGTACAAATTATTTATAAATTTTAGTACGGAATTGCAGTTTTATCTATATCTTGACTAATAATAAAGATATGATTTAATTGTTTATTTGTTTGCATAAGCTCCGTAACTTCTGAACCCATTCGATAAATTCTTTCACTCTTGGGAAGCTACACTATCTCCAGATGACATAGGCTAGAAATAAACAAGGTTTTTTTATAATTCTGCACGAATGCCATCGCTGGCAAATTCTAGCACAATATAAATAATTTTTTTATGATACTTTTAACCTATCACTTCTACAAAGCAGGAACGATGAAGACAATAAAGTAATATAATATTTAAAATGTAACTTACTTTTCAAAGTAAAGGTTTGGATAGAAGTAGCAGGACTGTTTTTATTTTGTCGAATAAGTCCAGATGTGTTTCTCGAAGTGAAAAACGCTTCTAGAATACTATTAGCCTTGTGTATTTTACTTTGTGCTCTTCTACACAATAAGGCATTATCTTTGTGAATAACGCTAAGATCATAAATATTGGAAGTACTTAATGTGCTTTTGTGGGTACTAAGTTCAGGTTTTTATATTTTGTTAATGCAAATATCCTAAGTGCTTACCAAATTAGACGAAGTAAAAAATTATTTGGACCAGATCCTATTCTAATAACTACATCATATCGATCAAAACTTTTATTTGGATTGGAGTCGACATTCTTGGATAAGACTAAGGCTTTAAGAGCAAATAATAAATTTATTAAAATAAAATATCTCAACATTTCTTTCAAGTTTACGATTCTTTTTATATGTGACATAGTAGTCACGCGACATAAATGAACATTTCAACAGAAATTTTCCGTGTTTGTAGTTTGTAATAAAAAATAAAAAAAACCGAACGTACTGTAATAAAAATCATCATGTAAAAACATATCAATGCAAATTTATAAAAAGAAAATGCAATATAAATTTTCTCGCATACAATCTTTCGGTTATTAATCTATATTAAACTGGCTGTTGCCCGCGTCTCCGACCGCAAAACATTTTAAGTCGGCTAAAAACGTAAAATATAGCCTATATGCTCTTTTAAGCTATGTTCCTATGTTCTGCATCTTTTCGAAATTTCATCAAGATCCGTAAAGCCGTTCTGCAGGTATCTTCTAACAAAAATCCAACTATACATTCAAACTTTCGCAATTATAATAATTTCAGATCAGTAGCGATGTGTTAAATTTTTAAATTTTTTGTTTTTAATTTAATTATTACTGTGTTCCAATTTTTCCAGTTAAACTTAGAATTAAAAAGCACGATTTTTTAATTTTTCCCTTATCTTAAGACCATAAACTAAAAAAGACATTTTTTAATATCCTTTTTATAATCTCGAAAACTTACCAAAGACACTTTTATTGTCTTTTGCCCGACTTGGCGCTCTCTTCTTTAAATTGAAACAAATTTACGACGTCAATATGGCGGATAAATGGAAAAGTAAGTTTGTTTATATTTTTATCAAACAAATCTTTATCTTTAGTTGCTTTATATAACACAAAACTTAAATAAAATTTGTAAAAATTTGAATTAAGATCTCTTTTTAAATTGAGTATCAATTTAAGTACTTCATCTGTTAAGTATAGAATATATTTTGATTCTAAAGGTTCAAAATTTGAAAAAATTCAAATTTTTAGCCTTATTGACAAAGATCATTTTGTTGACAATTTTCGAAATCTTATTCCATTTCATAATATACCTGTTATGACAGTGCACATCTTAGCGACATATATTAAAACTTAAATAAGAGTTATCCAATAATATTGAAATTTTTTATCTTCAAGGTAGTCCAAAAGATGGAAGAAATTCAACGGGTTTGCAATATAAGATTAAGAGTGAGCCAATGGATTCCGATTTACCCGAGGAAGACGAGACACCTCTTGCTTTTGGACCTGCCGCGCTTGGACTTCACAGAGTTGGAACTAAGTTACCGCCAAAACCTGCACCTAGTGAACCTGTTCAGAAGCTAAACGCAAGAGGTATGCCAGCTCGCATAAGGACGAAAAACAGATTTATTTTCGTTGACGATTTTATAAATACGTCTCCTCCGCCTCGGCAATCTCCGAAACGATTACCTAGACTGTTGAGTAAGTCTCCAACCAAATCATCAAGTGCTAAAAAACAAAAGTCGCCAACAAAGGGACACAAACCTGTTGATCGATATGAGGAAAAAGTTGCGACACAAGGAAGTCAATCTCCAGATCGTAAAAGTGGGCAAAGGATAGGTATGCGATTAAGGAACTTGTTAAAATTACCTAAAGCTCATAAATGGGTGTGTTTTGAATACTTCTATAGTAATATAGACAAGGCTCTATTTGAAGGTGAAAACGATTTTATGATTTGTCTTAAAGAATCCTTTCCCCAGCTGACAGTTAATCGGAAATTGACCCAAATACAATGGGCAAAAATTAGACGAATGATGGGTAAACCGCGAAGATGCTCCCAAGCTTTTTTTGCTGAGGAGCGCAAAGAACTTGAAAGAAAAAGGAAATTAATACGATACATACAACAAAGGAAAACGGCAGATATATGTGTTAAAGATTTACCGAATGAGATACCAATGCAGTTAGTTGTTGGTACCAAAGTCACTGCAAGACTGCGCAAGCCGCAAGATGGACTGTTTACTGGGTGCATAGATGCTGTGGACACATCCAACAATACATATCGGATAACATTTGAGAGACCTAAGCTTGGAACACACTCGGTACCTGATTATGAAGTATTGTCAAATGAACCACCAGACACCATCAATCTCTCTTCAATAACACAGAAATTTAGACCTAGATATGTTATGCAGGAAATTTTTAATTTATACCAACCATCTTCTGGGTCTAATAACACTAGTAAAAGTGACCCCTTAATTGGATGCAATGATATTTCAAAGCAAATGGAAGCAAATATTGGTGGTTTTCCTTTCGACTTGCTTGAATTAATAGTAAAGTTAGCAAAAATATTGCGTGCTAAAAGAAACAAAATAAACAGATTAAAGGAATATAATAGTGAAGCAGAGAAAAGGAAACCATTTGGCCAAAAACTGCCTGAAGATTTTGAAAGGAAATATGCCGCAGTTGTTATAGAATTAGAAAGAATGAATATGGACTTGCAGGATTATATCAATCAGGTTCAGCAGTATTGCCAACAAATAGCACCAGGCCCTAGTCTCGCTGCCATGTTGGCACCTTCTCACCTTAGAGAAAAATGCCGCGAGGAGGCATCATTGCTTGTTGAGAAGAATAATAATGGCACTCTAAAGGATCCTAACATCATAGACCTCATAACAGATTTAACTGCCCTTATGCTACAAGTAAAAAGCTTATCTGATTCCGATCAAAATGCATATGAACTAAGTGTCTTACAGGGTACTATGGATCAAATAAAAATGAAACTTGAACCACAGCATCAAAGGTTGTTTCAAAGTAATGTTGAGATTCACATGCAAAGAATTCAGATGGGCTTAGGGCAGATGTCAAATAGTTATGTTGCTGGCACATAATTCTGTACTCTTATAAATTGTTTTATTTGTTGTAACAAAACTCGTCTGAAAATGAATTGTTAGATATAAAATCTTTCAATTAACACTTCTGCATGCACAGGGTGTGAAAGATAGATTCAATGAATTAATATAATAAGAGTCCTGCTATATATCTTAATATGTAAATAAACCTTATTTTTAATGTTAATGGGGAGGATGTAGTATAAATTTTACTAATTGATCAATTTCTTGAATTTTCACCACCTTTCCTTTAATTTGATTATAGTTTTAAAAAACAATGCATGTGTGAATATAAAGGACAGATTTATTTAGAATTATAATATAATTATTGTTGAGTGCTACAATTTATGTACTATATATACTCGATTTTGTTATTTGTTACAACTAAGTCTATTCAAATTGCAATAAATGGTGACAAAATATTTTTTATATAGTATATTTCATTTTGGTTACTGTATCCTTGGTAAATATATGACAACCAATTTTATAAAACTGTTTACAGGAATTGGCCGTTCATTTGAAATTTAGTATATAGGTACTTAACAAATACAAATGTGTAGAACTAATCTTGTTTTTACAATTCTACTTTTCCTTATACCAAGTCTGTATATGTTTAACATATTTCACTTTCAAACAAAAATTAATTCAACATCTCTGTTGCAAATATGCATTGAGGTAGTCACTTGTATTGGGCACTCAACAGCAGCTTAATTTAGCTATTGCTCTCTTTTTACAAAAAGATTATTTTCTTGTGTTAATTGGAAAGATATCCAAACTTTACGGTTTACATTTGAGGTGAGTAAATTGATACATTAGGAATAATTGGATACAAATACATATGCAATTTATTTATTGATTACTAGGAATGAGATAGTTATAGATGTCAAGTAACATCTAAGCACTAAACATATACTTGTGAAAACAAAAAATATGCGAACTAATTATGTTAACATTAGGCTTTGATACCAGATGACTCAATCTACTAATGAATTACATAGAAACAAGTGTGACATTTCCATATTCTTTATTACAATGTCTTAAGCCTTATATTTATCTAATGTATTTAATAAATCATCAGCTTCCTCGGATGTTTTCACTCTAATCAATATGGGAACAGGTGGTGGTTTAGCCTCTGGAGTGGGAATACAAACCAACATTACATTATTTTTACCCATCCGTTGTGTTGGTATGGAGGAAGTGAGAACTAAATTAAGTAATATATTTCCCAAATTTGTGTTTGCCCGCACTAAAAGCTGATGCTTCTCACTATCATTTATCTTCTTTATGTATAGTGTGCCAACACCTTTGTCTACAAAATTATTATCTTTCTTAATGAATATTTTGCAGCGTTTATCAAAAATGCTGTTCTCTTCAACAACTGGGGTAAACTCTACTTTTGGTGGCTCATCATTTTCTTCAGCATTTTCATTTGTATTTTCTGTATTTGACTGAGTTTGTATGTTTGAATTGAAGCTGAAAGGTTTCCCTGTTCCAAATGAAAAGGGTTGTTGACCATTTGGTATAGAGTTAGCAGTGCTCACAGCAAATGGAGATGAGGTGGTTGATGTACTTTGAGTTGAACTTAAACCAAATGTAAAACCGGAACTTGTAGTATTAGTGCTTGGTGTTGATGTAAATCCAAAGGAAAAACTTGGTGATTGAGTTGTGCTTTTGATAGCTGAAGAAAATATAGATTTTGGTGTATTTACAGATGCAGCAAAGATTGAGGCAACAGAATTGTTGACGCTCACAGGTGGATTTTTAATGGTTTCAGAAATTTTGGTGGAGTCATTTTCATTAGTGGTTTCTTTCTCTTCCTTTTTACAACTTTCATACTCATTTTGAATTTCAATGAGGTATTTATCATAATCCTTAAATATTGGTGTGAGTATGCACAGAGGTGTTTCATCCACATGTTTTTTGATCCACTCCAAAACGGATACATTTAAGGCCTTTAACTTACTGTAGTAAGTTAATTTACTTTCTTGCACATTCTGCGAGTTTGTATTATTCTCAGAAGCTTTTACTTCTATTTTGTTTCTAGTAACATTTTCACTTGTAGGTAGAGTAGTTTGGGTCCATAATTGTGATCCCTGTGATTGTGTGGTCTGTGGTTTCGGTGCCTGAAACAATGAGGTCTGGGACTGGGGACTCTTAAATTGTGAGGCTTGGGATTGGAATAGTGAAGATTGAGCTGGTGGTGTTTGAAATTGTGAGGTCTGAGTCTGGGGTATCTGAAAAAGTGAGGTTTGGGACTGGGGACTTTGGAATTGTGAGGTTTGGGTCTGAGGTGCTTGAAACAATGATGTTTTGGACTGTGGGCTTCCTAATTGTGTGGTTTGTGTCTGTGGTGCCTGAAATAGAGATGTTTGGGACTGGGGGCTCTGAAATTGTGAGCTTTGTGTCTGTGGTGCCTGAAACAGTGATGTTTGGGGCTGTGGACTCTGGAATTGTGAGGTCTGTGGTTGTGGAGTCTGGAATACAGAGCTTTGTGATTGTGATGTTTGATTTTGTGTGGTTGGTGTTGCCTGAAACAGAGAGGACTGCGACTGAGGGCTCTGGAATTGTGAAGTCTGTGTTTGAGGTGCTTTAAATTGTGGGCTCTGGGTTTGTGGAGCCTTAAATTGTAAGGGCTGTGCCGGTGGAGACTTAAACTGAAAAGCCGGTGTCTGTGAAACCTGTAATTGTGGCATCTGATTCTGAGTTTGGGAATCTAACTTTATCTGAGAAGCATTTGAAGTTGTTTGTATTGGAAATGGTGTTGTAGCATTTGAGGCAAAAAGAGATTTATTATTGGAATTTGATGAAGCTACTCCAAATATTGAAGATGGTAATGGTGAGCTTTCAGGAGCTTTCCAATTGAAACCACTGGTAGTAGACCCCGATGTCACTGGTGCCTTGAATATGTTTTCATTTACAGTGGAATCTGCATCAGGTGGTTTTCCAGCAGAGGTAGATTCTGAAGCCAATTTTCCAAAACTCAGTCCTGTAGCACTTGCAGATGTAGGTGTGGTAAAAATGTTGCTACCAAATGGTTTCATATCACTGGCATTCACATTAAGAGTTGCACTGTTGGCTGTACTTGGTGTACTAGCACCTTTGGTCAAATTCGCTAAGAAATCAAATGATGATGGTTGAGCTTTATTAAAACCACCAAATCCACTGAAGACTGGTTTTTTAGACTGTAAAAATTCAAGAAGATTATAAATAGATATATTCAAGTATATAATTTTAGAATGTATAAGAAGCAATTCTAGATATTCAAATGCAGACAACTGTTTTATTAACATTACCAATAAACGTTATGCGTAGAGCCGATAAGCAAAAACGAGAATGGACTATTTACCTCATGGCCAGGAACATTTTGGCTACGCCGTTTGGCCAGTCTGAAAACACGCTTCTCGAGAACCTCTCCGGGTGCTGTTTTAAAACTGCCTATTTCTTCATTTTTCTCTTCTTTATCCCAATTCTCATGATTTAAATCGGCAGCTGCCCGCCTTTTTACTGACATTATGTTGTTTCTAGCAGTCAAGTAAGATTACTACCTTGTAGATGCGTTTGTTCCATTGAGCGAAAAAACTTGACATCCAAAGCTTGAATCTGTAAAATGTATTTTCTGTGATGATATCAAATTTGAACGTGTTTCTTAAATTCTTATCTTCTGATCCTGGATTTTACTTTTAACATGGCATGCCATCCGACAGCAGATACAGAGGACAATTAATAAAAAATGTCATTCATATCTTTGTCATATTATGTCATCAGTCGAAATCACAGACAGGCAAAAGGCAAAGGCATAACATATGAACGCTTTGTTAGCTGTTTCAATTTCAACAAGAAAACTGTCTATATTAAAAAAAAACGTAATTTCATATTTGAATTGTTTAATTCAACAACACTTATAATTCTATATATAAATATTGTAATTTAGAAAGCACTTTATTTATTTAAATGTATAAAAATAGAAAGTGAATCTTTTTTTAGTGTTTTTTTGTCCTATTTATGATATATGTTTTTTGTAGATTTGTACAATATTACTATATTATTTAAAAGTTTACAGAAAAACAATACAACACAGGAATAGTTTCTATATACTTTCGCTTTCTGTTTGTTCTACGGTACAAAAGTTATTTTAAATTTTATTCCCTTGGAATTAGATTAATATTCGAATGTTAGAGGCGAAAAACTTTGCAATCCAAAAATATTGTAACTTCCGACTTCCGAGTTGTCACACTTTGTATAGTTATATAGTTAGTATAGTTTGAATGTAAATTTTAGACTATTTTTACTTTGAATTTAACTAAAAGAAATATTTATATCATCAAGAATTTTTTTCTTAAATGAGTACTCCTTTAGTTTGCATAAACAAAGTACTACATCTAACATTAATAAAAAAGTATTTAAATAGTGTTTCCGAATAGTTAACATTCAGATTTCAGTGTTTCCTTTGAAGAGTTTTTTTTGTTAAACTGTGACTGCGAAACAAAAGTTGACTATTTAATAATAAAAAAATACTATTTTTCTTAAAAATCGTAGTAATATAAGAAAAGTATTCATAGAGTTAAAATTATGTGATGTGTTTTATAACTATAAGTTTATTGTTTTATGTGTGATCATGGAAGTATCTAATGAAATAAAGGAAGATATTCGCAAAACACAGACTGACTTGAAAAATGCAATTAGAGTTCATCAGGCGAGTGTTGTTTCTCAGTTTAATTTCTGGATTTTGTTCCATAATTTTGTTAAACTTTTGAATTTGTAATTATAGTCACTATGTAAGAAGTAAAAAACATTTTTCTTAACTTCCAGATTTGGGTTGCGCGACTTCAAGAAGACGAAAATGTAAGTTTTGTTTACCTTTACTGTTTTTTTACCTTAATAACACTTTTTGCTAAATTAAATTTGTTTTTCAGAATGTACATCTAAAAATAAAAGTAAAGGAAGCAGAAAAAGAAATTATCGCTATTGGGAGAAATCAAGTGAGTTCTTTCTTTCGTAAATTTTTTGCTAGTACAAAGTACAGCACAGTTTATTTAACTGATGCAAATCTATTAATATTTAATGTTATTAAATTTGTTCTTACTTTTTATAACTTTTACTGCTTATATATGATTTTATTATACACATAAAATTTCTAATTTCAGAAAACTGTAGTTGATAGATTACGTAGAGAACTGATTCTTTATCAGCAGCGGCTTAAAGCAAGGAATAAGCAAGTCAGTATTGAAAATGAGACACGTTATGTTGCTCAGCAGTTACGGGACCATCAGTTACAGTATCGCAGTAGAAACAGATCCATATCATTATTAAAACCATCTGTCTTAAATGAAATATTGATAAAATCGGAATGTAACGAGGGAACTAACGCTTCTGATTCAGAACATGAATTAAAGTCTTTCAATGATAAAGAAAACTCCAATGCAAGTGAAAATGATGCTCATGAAAAATACCATAATTCTCAGTTGTCAAATACAGTCCATGACAGTAGAAATAATTTTACAAATGCTCTTAAGAAAGTCAAAGAAGCTTTAATGTAAGTGTTTTGACTATTTTTTATATTCTAGAAAATTAGTGACAATTATGCAAAATATAACAGTCATAAGTTACTTTCTACATATTTAAAGTATTTGTTTACAGTTTAAAACATAGCAAGGTTTATTGTAGTTAATTTTTTGTGTTTAATTAGAATCAGTATTTTAAATAATGAAAGAAATTAAATATATATCAAATATAACATGTTAAATAGAGGCACTAAAGTTGAACAACAATGGTGCGAACAGCGATCGGACTCAGACTCATCACAGGATCATGAGCCATCACCCACTCCATCACCTCCACCTCTGCCGGAATCTGGTGAACTGGTGCCACAAGAGATCTTCATGAGGTAGGATCTATTAGTTATTACATTCAAAGCAAAATAAATTATGGCGAATCTTTTTATTTTTCATAGGTCTTTTTAGCAAATTTCATAACACTCTACCAAAGTTTCAACATATTTTATTACCAAAAGTTACAATTACTGTTTTCTTTTAACTATATTTTTAGAAATATTTGTACATTTTTTTACTCGAAAATATAAAGATTATAGTCAATATAACAATACCTATTTGTTATACTTAAATTAAACTTGTACATATTATTTTCAGATTAATAGGCCTGATCACACATCAACAGAGAGAATTAGTGGAAAAGAAAAGGAATGAACGTAGAAAAAGAAGAAAAACTACAACTGCAAATAGTGACTTCATTTATGGAAACTATGATATGCTGCCAGTAAGTTTACATAAATTAAAATGTTGACTATTCTGAGACTAAGAAATTTTAATAAACAAAGTTGTGATACATTTAATATTATAAATGCGAATGATTGAATGGATGTTAGAAGGTATCTCTTGAACGGCTCAATGTGTCTTAAATTCAAAATTAAGCAAGGATAACTAGGCTACTAATTAAGTTTTTTTTTAAAACCGCGCGTACGGAATCGCGGGCGATAGTTATGTTTAAAATAACTAAACCTATATGTCTATTAATTCCACTTGATATTTTCAGAAAAGAAAGAAATTAAACCAATTCCCGTATCTGCAGTCACATAGTGATCCGCCGCAGACACGATCGGCGAAGTTAAAAAAACAACAGGTAATATGATTCATATATAAATATAATATACAAATTTTTACAATTCAAAAACCTGTAAGAAAATTACCAAGAAAAAATAGATTGCCCTATATTGTATAGTTCTTTAGACAATGTAAGATATCTCATATTTGAATACATTGCATTTTTGTTTTAATCTTGTAAAAAAACAGTACTTTGGTGTATTATTATTTTTTGGTTTTTTCATATAATGAATATTTCAGGGTCAAGCCAAGTCATCACGTGAAGGATCACCATCAGGATCGTCAACAGAAAATAAAGGTATTACTTTCATTCATATTATATCATATGTTAAAAGATTTAAAATTAGACAACCTCAATACTATAATAATTGTTATTATTTATTTTATATGATATTGTTCTCGTCAGGAAAAATTGTGGCACTAAATCTGTATTACAGAAGAATCTGAATAAGTAAAGTCTAATGTTTCTCTAACCCAAGTTTCTGGCTAGTGGAGTTTGTCCGTCAGGACTGGACAATAACTCACATATAGAGGTTTCAAGCTTCTGTATTGCCATTAGCCACTAATAAAGTATGAAATAAAAGAGTGAATCAATGTGTAAACAAATCAGAAATAAAATCATGAATAACATTTAGACTATGTATTTGGCAGTGAAAAGTGGCTGTTACTAAAATATTATATTTGAATTAGGTTGGGTTCAGAGCGCGCCGGCCTGGCTCTCGCAGCTACCGGCGGGGCTAACGGTGGAGCCGGCGGTCAAGAAAGTCTGTCATAGTTGTGGCAGAAATGGTAAGATTCTATATGAATAAAAAAAAAGTATTAAAAATATATGAAATTAAGTGATTAGTATCTTTGAAGATCTTTTTCCAAGAAGTTTAATTTTGCTTGTAGTAAAGTTAAGAAATATTCAAGTGATAGCAGTTTCAGACACACTACTAAGCAATACAGCGTACAGTGCGATTATTGTTTTGTAGCCTTAATTTTTGTCTTCTTTCCCTTATCATCCTTAACGAATAAAGGAATGAAGGGAAGGGAAAGTTAATTAGACGGAGGATTGGACGAATAGGTAGGAGAAAAATTATCTTTTTGTACTTGTTCTTCGTCGATTAAAGGTAGGCAGTGCATCTACAAGTGCGGATGTCTAATATATTAATATGTTACTAATCTAGTGTTATTTATAATTTGTGTGCAGATGTGCCATCGCTGCTGGTGTGCTGCGCTATGTGCGGAACGTGGCAGCACACGGGGTGTGCGGCGCGCGGCCGCTGCCCCAGCTGTCGCTCGCCGCTGCCCGACCCCGCCGCCTGCCCGCCCGTCTGCCCGCCCGCCTGCCCGCCTGCATGCCCTCCTGCACAGATATTTAGAGGTAAAATAGACGCTCACATGTATTCCTGACACATGTGCAAGAAATCTTAGACTAAGCTTAAAAAATCATCCTGTAGGTCATGTGCAAGGAATATCTAAGACAAAGATTAAAAAATCATCCTGTTAAGGATTTTGTGTACTGATTCGTCGGACACTAACACCATGTAGTATTGATATGGGTATATGAATGTGCGATTTCGTAAATTCAATCTGTTTTCACACTAAAAAACATTTAGTAACTGTGTATAATTTTTTAAACTAAAACAAATTTAAATTTTTTTATTATACTTTACGGGGCTGGTTCATGGACAATTTTAAGAAACGCATTGTAACGCAATATACGAATGTTAGGAGTCTATAATATTGCGACTTAGTTATGCAACAGTCGTGATCCAGCTTTAATACATACGCCAATATGTTCGTAAAAATATTGTTTAGAACATTTTTTTTTATATTTATAGATAAAGTAGCGGAACACAAACGCTTACAGCAACGAAACATAGAGTTATGCGAAGAACTAAGCAAGCTGGAAGCGCGTGCCGCGACACTCAAGGAGAACCTGGACGAGCATAATGAGGAGAAGCGGCAACTCCTCGCTGATCAGATCAACACGCAGAGAAACCTGCAGAAGCTGCTCGATTTTATCAGTCAGTTTAAAGAGACCTCCATCAGCATACGATCAACTTCTGTCAGCGAAACTGGTAGCGATCTCAGTAAGAGTAATGAAGAATGAACTGGTAAGTTATATACAATTCACTGTCGCCCGCGACTAAGTCCGTGGGTTTTAAAAAAAACTTGATTAGTAGCCTATTTGTTCTTCCAAGCTATGTTCTACAACTATGACAAATTTCAGAGAGATCCATGCAGCCATTCTGAAGATAACTTCTAACAAACATCCATCCATCCATACATACAAACTTTAGCATTTATTATATCAGTAAGATTCTATACCACAAGATTTTGTAGACTTATAGAATTACTTCTTCTTCTTCTTGTCAGCCATGAGTCGCACACTGCTGGGCATAGGCCTCCCCCAAAGATCGCCACGATGACCGGTCTTATGCAACCTGCATCCAGGACGCTCCCGCAACCTTGAACAGGTCATCGGTCCATCTTGCGGGAGGCCTGCCCACGCTGCGTCGACCTGTCCATAGAATTACTATCTTACTAATATTTTGATGTATGGATGAAATTGGCTGTAAGGTTTAGTACAATCTCGTAAAGTTTGTTACTAATCTTATTTGTTCTAATAATTAATACATTTTGTTACAGTTGACAAGATTTGGAGACTTTGTGGCGGTTTGTGTGAATTGTTAATTTGTCTAATTAAAAAAAAAATCACAGTTGATTTTGACTAGGATAAAATTGTTATTTTATATGAATGTTTTTTTTTAATAATGAAATGAATTTAATTTATAACAATTTGTATATCAAATTGTATATTTTATTTTTGTACATGCTTAGGAAACATATCTCGGAGAATTATCAGCTTTGGACGTAATTTGTCCTGATTAGTTGTATTAAATAGCCTATTGCCACTTACAGTCATTTAATTATCACTAAGGGTGAACATCAATGTTCTTAATAGTTGATTAAGGTGGTAAACTAGTAAGCGGCCACCTAAATTCGCCAAAATGGCGAAGTTGCCTGCCTTTTAATGACTAGTATATATTTAATGAGAAAAATCTTCGCTAAGTGATTAACTTAGACGACTCGTAAGTGTGGAAATGGGTATTTAAATCATTATTAATTATAATTCAGTTTTATACCAAGTGTTCAGATAGTTTAGAAAAATATCGTACTTAATAATAATTATTATGTAAAAATCGTTGAAGGTAAGAACTTGTATTTTTTACACAATAAAATGTATTGATACTAATTAAAAAAAAACATTTCCATCCAAACATTTCCATTTTGACTCTTCTTGCTGAGAATAGTCTACCATTTGGTGAAATCAAAACATTTTTGTATTGCGGAAGAAGACGTGTTATTTTTATGAACATTGTATAGATAAAATATTTTTTTTTTTATAAACACAGTATAAATATTTTGTGTTATAATCTTTTTTTATTCCATTTCTTTATTTAAACCATCACTATAATGCCGAAAAAAAATATTGTGAGTTGCAAAATCTTTTTTTTAATTATCTTTGGAACTAATTATCTTATTTACGCTTTATACCAGTATATAGTCGAACCAGGAATAAGAGAAACTCTTCAAGCTAAAGGAGACAAATATTGCAGTCCCTTGGATTTTCTTTTCAAGTTTCGACTTTATTGATAACTAGCTGTCGCCCGCGACCCCGTCCGCGCGGAAATAAAAAAAAAACTATTGATCGCAGCGTAATGTTATATAGCCTACTGTCTTCCTCTATAAATGAATGATCCACAAAAATTTTTTTTTCAACAAAGGATTTTTCAAATCGGACCAGTAGTTCCTGAGATTAGCGCGTTTAAACAAACAAACTCTTCCGCTTTATATTTGTATAGATTTATAGCATCAATTTTTTAAATCAAATATTTTTAACTGTCTACAACAAAAATCTGATAAACTTAAATTGACGATATTTAAATCTGACTTTATAGTTAAATGTGTGTTATTGGTATTATTTGACCGCTTTTGTTGTTTAGGGAATTAATCATATAAATTTTTTTATTACATGTGTAAAATGAATTTTAAGTTTGTAGATTTACCCATTTAATTTAAGTTTTTGAAGACATTCAATCAAAATTGAATCATAAAATCAAAATAAAAATGTAGTGTCCAAAGTCAGCATTTCAAAATTTGATTAAAACAAAATTAAACCATAAAAATTTATGGATACGTACATTTGGGAAATTAATCTTCGTAAATATATCAAATTAATCAGATTTCATCATCTATCTATCTACTCAGCCATGAGACGCCCACTGCTGGGCATAGGCCTCCCCCAAAGATCGCCACGATGACCGATCTTGTGCCACCCGCATCCAGGACGCTCCCGCAACCTTGACCAGGTCATCGGTCCATCTTGCGGGAGGCCTACCCACGCTGCGTTGATTTCATCATAAATTGTTTAAATTAATTCAGAAAAAATCGTAGCTTTCAATTTTAGTGTTTTAAGTTTTGTCATTCTTGATTTCGAGTATATTTATTGTATTATTGTTATAAATATAATGATTATGTGCATTAGGTTTAATTTTTTTTTATTTTAATAAAGAAAATATGTGTGTCAATTAGTATTTAGGTAATGAAAATCTCTTTAATCGATTTATCCGTTGGTTACATTTATATTTGAATATTGTTCACTTCAAATGTAAAAATGCCTTGTTTAAATTGTTACTTTTAAAAAGACATGTAACGATAATTAACTTTGTTCAAATTGAACACCCAAACTTTGTGAACTGTGCACTTGAATAAAAAAAAACATATCACGCTATAATTTAAAATTTGAAAGTTATCTTTTATGTTAAGTAAATACCAAAATATTTGCGTAAATATTATTTTTCGCTTAACTAAAATTAAAAAAAGGGTCTCGACAGACAGACGGACGAACAAAGTGATCCTATAAGGGTTCCGTTTTTTTCCTATGAGGTACGGAACCCTAAAAATACAGTATTTCCAAAAGCAATGAGTGCAGTTTTGTTTACAAAGTTTTGGTGTTGAATTGGAATAAAGTAAAAGTACTCTGTGATACAATTTTGATTTCTCGACATTTGGTCGATATCGCTATAGTACGATCTTGAGACAATTTTTTGTAAATCGGCCATTTTGTTGAGTGCCTTGAAGTTTTCCTTGGTTGACTAATGTTTTGTACGAAACCAGGGTTGTGTAAATAAAATTCATTGATTATAAAATATATTTTATTTAACTTCATCTATCCATTCAATTAAGAGAAAATAAAACGGATTCCTTTTTTTGGTACCAAATATATTTTATTAATAAAAACATATTTTGCAATATTGATAGGACAATAGAACAAAGAACCTTTGAATAAAGTAGTTTAGGCACAAAATAAAGTACTGGAAACATTATTAAAAGTGTAATACACATAAATATATTTTTAAGATACTTTCTAATCAAAGTTCAGATTTTTAATTTTCTTAGACAATTTCTAATATTTTCTTTCCAACTGTGACGTCTTCTCGTAATTGTCTAATACTCTGTTCGAGTATACCGCATTCGTAGGAGAACAAATCTGAATAGAGTCTCATTTCACCGATACCATTCTTATTAACTTCAACCAGTCCTGAGAAATATGAAGTACCGAAATCATTGTTCTCTACCAAAGCGTTCACTTGTGATATTTGTCCATCTATTGCTTCTAATATCCTTTGTGTGAATAAATATACGCTATAAGCAATGGATAAGGCAGGGGTCAGAGGTGAAGACGCCTTTTCATAAATCGTATAATCTCGTAGGCTAGTAGTTAAATCAAGACACGTCTCTTCAGGTAGAACGGTCTTAGGACTCGCTTGGGATAATAACGGCACCATAGTTGTTCTCGAATGGCCACAGATGACCGGCACATGGCATTCGCTGTGCACAAAACCGTTCGCTTTAGCGTACAACGTCTGCGCTTTTAATGCATCGATGATGGTAACGCCAAATAGTTTGTTCTGTTCGTAACATCCCTGATGTCTCATAACCTCAGCTGCCATAGGAACGAGAGTATTAATAGGTTCTGTTACTATGCCAAAGAATGGCACTGGTGCGATTCTAGTCACCGCTGAAGAAACAATTTTTATAAAATCCGCATTTTGAGAAAGTACCGATTGTGATGTTGGAAGAGATTTTTGCGGTAAACCACCGACAGCAAGAACTAAACTTGAACCTTGTAAGGCCTCTTCCAAAGTATTACTACCGCAGTAACCTTTAGCTTTTGATTTGGATGGGATATGAGATAGATCTAGAACAATACCGGGTGTGCTATCGGTTGTGTCGTGTAGGACTAATTTGCTCACGGAAGGACATGTTCGCAGCAAAAGCGCAGTTGTTTGTCCGACTTCATTGGTTGCTCCTACAATGGCTACTTGATGATTTCTCGTAACAGTAAAGAATGCACTGTATGTTATTTTATAAAATTGCCGCGACATAAACATTTTTTTAATGTATAAAAAAATGAAAACACAAAAATTTGAAAAGTCAGATTTTATGACACGAGATGTTTTTGACGATTTTCATTTGTATTTTTTTTAATAAAAGACATGACAGGGTTGTGGTTCTTGGATTGTTCCACCTGCTAAGTCTATTGAATCTTCTAAACAATGAAATAAAATTGTATATATTTTCATATCGTGGAATTAGTAACTAAAGGTTAGTGAAAAGAAAATGATTTAAAACGCTATTAAAAGGTCTCGTTTCGCCATGTACTTTTCCTTTATTCTAGAACTCGGTTAGAATACAGATTCTATTAACCGTTGGTCCTACGAGAAAAGTGTCTTTCAGAGACCCTCGTTTCCGTTGTTGGGATTCGTATTTTTGTATTTGATATTCACGTAAGAAGAATTTACAAAGATTTGATTTAGTTAGTGTTATTGTGACTATCTGTAAATTATATTTTGGCACAAGTGACATTTACTGCTGTTTTGTGTCAAGAATAATGCTTTAAAATTAAAGGTAACGAAATCATTATAAGTAAGATCAATCGAAAATCAGTAAAATGTTGTTAGCTAAATTTAAATCGCCAAAAATCTTCTTTCGAAATACACAGAAATCCCATTTAAATTTTATACCACTGAGAAATATTCAAGTATCTATCATTGGTTCCGTTGGTGAGGTTGGATCTAATTTGGCTTTACTATTAAAACAAAATCCAAAGATTTCAAGACTACAATTGTATGACGATAATGAATCTGTAAATAAACTAGCAATAGAATTGGACTGTTTGCCGGGTGGACCTACCGTGTCTGCTTTCGCTGGTCCTTCCATGTTGCGCCCGGCGATACGATTCACAGATCTCATCCTAATGGTCGACAGGAGTCACAGGAAGCCAGGTATCAAAAGGGAACAAATGATATTCGCTAACGCTCCACCGGTGCAGAAACTTTGTAGAGCTATGGCTGAACAGAATTCGACGGCATTTCTAGCGATAACTACAAGTCCTTTAAACTCAATAGTGCCATTTGCTAGTGTTCTTTTACTTAATTATGGTAGTTACAATCCATTTAAAGTGTTCGGTATAACGCACCTTGATTTAGCGAGGACACGATCTCTCGCCGGTAACGTTTTACAAGCGAACCCAACAGAAATACAAATCCCAGTCATCGGTGGCCACTCTGATGAAACTATAGTGCCTCTATTTTCGAATATCTCGCCTAACACATACGAAGTAACTGAACGCCAAGCTGATATGTTGACGAGATTGATAAGAAAAGCTGGAGTTGAGGTTGTTAACAAAAAATATGGAGTCGAATCCGCCACCTTGTCAATGGCTTGGTCGATAAATGAATTTGTGGATTGTATTTTAGACGCGTTACGTGGTGCTGAAGTAACCGTGAATTCGTATACGGCGAATCCTCACTTTGGAACAAAATTTTTCTCTGGCCCCACAGTAGTTGGCGCTCAAGGTTTAGTCCAACCATGCTACGAATTCAAGTTGAACGATTTTGAAGATAAACTTTTGGAAAAAGCTCTTCCGATGATAAGTCGAGACGTATCCCAGGGAGAGCAATACGTTGACGTCTTTGAAAGTTTTGTGAGGAAATTCTAAGTGATAGATGTGTGAATTTAAAAATAAATTTGACATAATAAAATTGATTTCCTCATCTTTTTATTCATTATATCAATTGTACTTAAATACTAGGTCTGAATAGTTTAAGAATCTTCTAAAATAGACACATTTTAAGATGAAATGCGTATTATCCTTAGCACGATATATGAAGCACATTTAAGTTAACGTTCAATGCAAATAAAGACATTGGAATGTTCTTGTGAACGTGTGACGACAAAGGTTCAATATCGGGGAAACGGCAATGTTGCGGCCCAGGGCGGCCATCACGGGGTAACGGAACTGTTAACTGCCGCACAGTGCTGCCAATATTGCCAACGCACGTATTCTCATCATTGCACCTATGCTACCGTTAACCTTTAATTTTCCAACATACTCGTGTTTCTAGAAATTGAAATATCTTTTTGTATATTTTTTTAAGTGTACAGCTCTGCATTGAACTACGGATCACCTTTTTAAGAGCTAAATGGGCTAAAGCAAGACCAATAAAACTGGGCTCTTAACCTAGAAAAACGCCCTCTGGGAGATATTTAGCTACTTTATCTATAACGGAGAGTTTTCACTGCTAAAACACATACAAATACGTATTGTTATCCCTATTTTCTCAAAGAAAATGAGAGGGATGACCTATGTTTTAGTAATGGTATTTTGGCAGTGGATCAGAAACTCATGATTAAGTTGTGCGAGATATATATTTTTGATTGTCATATTTAAAAATTTCTTATCAAGATGTATGTTCGCGATGAACTCCGAAACTACTAAACTTATACTTCTCAAATTTTGTACGCATCTGTAATTTTGTCTAACTTGGGAGATGGAGTAGTTTTTATCTCCATTATTGATATTTTTTTAATTCCGCGCGGACGGAGACGCAGGCGATAGCTAGTAAAATTATAAGGAAGATAGGTACTTCTACTATATTCTGTTCAACAAATTTATTAAAAGAATGACTGAGCATACTAAAACAATGCGAATCTAATTAGCGATGTATGCGTTTAAATAGTTGTAAATAAGGGAAGCTATTTAAAGAACTCGTGCAACTTTCTCAACGCGTCGTATTCGTTATCTCAAGTTGTTTGCTAACTCGTAGCGGTAAGAATTGCAAATGGCGATAATTCCAACTACGCCGATAAATCAGCTCCAGTTTTTCCTCAAGGGTGCAGCTCCGGTGCCATTGTAGGTGATCAATTGCCTTTTTCCGTACTTAAAACTTTCTTTCACGACGCCCGCGTACATGTGTTACGAAAGAGTTTTGACTCACCGACACTTCCACATGTTTGGAATCTGTAAGTATTAGATTTATCGGTTTATAATTTGCAAAGGGGTATTCCGATTTATTCTTTTGTTGAGCGTATAGGATATAAATCAATAAAAAGGTTGACATGATTTTAATTTCTTGTTTATAACAAAACTAAATTGTTACTATGTAACAAAAAACTAGCAAGTAAATATTTACATATTCCTAATTTGACGAAGTTTGTTAAAAGTTTTTTTATATTCATTTCATTTCGGGCTATTGAATGAATGTTTAAAAGAAGAAAAAAAAATTAAAAATATTATAATATCACTATTATATATCAATATTATAATACAATTTAACTTTGTGATAAATTATACGATTAAAATATCCACAAAACCACATTTTAAGACAATTATTTTATTGTCAATATCTCAAATTACCAGTATAAGTAAGAAAAGCAATAAATTATCAATCGATGACACCCGCGGGAGTCGCGGTCACCAACTAGGCTCAAACGATTTATAGCCACTGCTAATTGCCCTCAATTTATATCTCCAATACGTAATAATGGTTACAATGAAAGAACGCGGTGACAATGCACTCATAAAGTTGATACGGGCGAGTTATACAGAAATGTTACTATGTATATTAAGATTCAAACCTTAAGAACTATAGCTCCATGGAACCTATTAAGTAAAACAAATTCTTTAGGACGATTTTAGTCGTGTTGTTATTATAACATTGAACAATATATCACGAAGATTAACCTGAGAAGCGAAACTAGTAAAGCCAAGATAATGGGTTTAAGTGCGAAAATTATTACCAAAACCGAAAGTTTGTAAATGGTATATTTCTTCGACAGCTAAAAATTACTGTTTTTTACACAAATTTATTCCAGTTGTTTCAAGATTGTTTGGTCGTAGTACCTAATTTTACACTATTTGCATTTGGCAGAGGAAAATGACATCTCTTTGCGGCTGGTAATTGTATTAATGCGATAATTAGCGTCAGTGAGACGTACCTTCCTGCCGCGTCCTTGTTGCAGTTGCCAGAACGCTTCCGCTACGACGTTTGACGCGGTGCATCGTTTTAAAGTCAATTTTCTTGTTAAATGCTTTTAATAAGATTGGTTTCACGAAGTTAGTTATTAACTTACTATCCGTGGCCCAGGAGTCTGTCCGGAATTAAAAGAACTATATTAGTAGCATATGTGTTCCAGACTATTTCTACATCTATATCAAATTTCATCGAAATTCATGCTCCGGTTCTGAAGATACGTTCTAACAAACATCCATCTTTCTATCCGTCTAAACTTTCGCATTTATGTTAGTAAGATTTAATTTTGAGAACAACTATATTAATTATTCCATTCTTAATACGATGGAATCGCAGTTGTATACTAATATCGTGTAATCATTTTACACAACGCTGTATTTACATTTTGGAATGTAATAATTACATCTCATAATGTGGCGAATTCATTTGGCAGACGACAGCGGCAGTGATACGCGTCGACTGTTGTGAAATAATACGGGCAACATTTCTGCTCCGCTCCGCTTTTATTAATCGATTTAATTGAGCCAATGAACAATTTAATTAAAATTCTAAAGACACGCCGGAGCGACTGTACTCGGATGCGCGGACTGTGATGCGGTGAAACTGTGAAATGAGTCAATCCATTATTTGCTTTTATGAACATAATGTAACATGCATTTAGTTGAACGCGAAAACAATAGATATAAATAAATTTATTAGCTATTTGCTTAGATAGTTGCCTCTAGCTAATATGTATCTTTTTTTTTACCAGCGTTATTTAGGACAGATACAAAAAAAAATCATAGAGGTTTTAATAGTAATTCTTTTGAATAAAATACATAAGCTGGGTCAATATTGAGGTTGTTTTATAAGTTGTAGCTTCGAAAAAAAAAACTTATTGTGACAATTTGTGAAATAAATCTAATTTGATTTATATTGCAAGTTGGTTTTACTCGGAAAGTCTTATTTCGCATAGTGCCAGTGACAAGAATAAAAATATGCGATTATTAAAATGTCGGAGTACAAATGAGCGATGAGGCGCGGTGGTATGCAGGTATTTACGGCACGGGTTATTGGGCCCCGGGAGTTGTCGCTGAGATCCGACTTACTCCTCTTTATCTTTTGTCTTCTTGTTCTTATATTAATATTTATCTTTTCCTTT